GTAAATTGGGACAACTTAGCTAGTCGGTTTGCTGATGGATATATATTTTCAGATTCATATTTATTCCAAAATATGTTAACTAAAACTTGGGTGTCCTTAGTTTCCCTATACTGAGAATTATATATAATTTACGATTCTGCATTCCCATTTGTCGGGTTGCTATAAGAACGATCTTTCCAAACCGCCATGCCCGGAATTTGTAGAAAGTCAGAACCTTATATGCCATTAACTACCATTATTCACAATTTTTATCTTTTTGGGAGAGGTTAGCCGTATTGTCAATTTCTTGCAGATAATTTCAGCGTACAAAGTACACAGTTCGGTCTATATTGGATACTCATTTCCCTTCTAACCTGGTATGCGAATAGCTCAAAAGTTTTGAAGTTTTGGACGAATATATCCAAAATCATACATTGGAAGAAATATTAAGAGATCGTATGTTTTAAGATCAGTAAATAAAATCACATATTTCAGAGGGTCAAAATGTTGACCCCTTAAGGGAGATACGAGCAAGATTTGTCCGATATTCTTTACTTTTTCCATTTGACTCTATATTAATTTAAATACAGACTCCGCCCTTATAAGGTTTTTAAATCCTCTACCTTACATAGTAAGGAGGGTATAATGAGTTCGACATTCCGCCTGTATCTCATCGAAATAATGATTTTAGACCTTTCTAAGACGATTTATCCATCTCCTCAGTCCGCCTGTCCGTCTGTATAGGTAAACAATATTTTATTGTTCCCATAGAACGGTATTCTCCGGTATATATATCCTCAAAATTTCGTATTTAAAGTTAGTAATGGGTACTACAGCTTATGACAAAAATTTCAATATAAAATTTCAATTATATATAAATTTCAACGATATCTCCCCATATTCGGAGTTTTGAAGATTTTGAGGACGTTATTCATCGGAATTATTTCAAATTTTTTCTAATTTCAAATTGTTTCGTATATGAAGCTCGTAATGGATACTATAACCTATGATGGACAATTATTTATTTAGGCATATAACGGCACCCCCATTTATTCGTTATTTTGATGATATTAGCGACTTTTTTCACCGGATATGACAAAGAATTACTTATGCAGGACCATAAGACGGTTTTCAATTGAACGTTATTCTTGACGGAATTTGTTGAAAATTTTTAAAGTTCCTTCAAATTGGTAGGGGATATTAAAAAGTCCTGCCCGCCAAATCTAAGCTGCTTTTTTACTTGTTTTAACTAGTGCTTATTGGCATAATCTAAGGTTGAGCAAAATATTTGTAAGAACATATTAGAAACTCTTTATAGTGTACTTTTCAGGCAAACTACGTCGACTTCAAATGTCTTGAAATCGATTTCGTCCATAGAGTCATGGGATATTCAAATTACATATTAAATTATTAAAAAAATAGCTGCAGAAATCATGACCCTCATAGAATAATTATCCCAGACGATCAGAAATTTCTGCAATCCCGTCTATTTACAATTACTATATTACTGATGCATTTCACTATGTCTCCCAGAAACATTTATCATTCTCGAATACTACCATCTGCACTTAAAATTTCCCACCTCCTCAGACCATGACTCGAAAATTGTCGCACAGTGTCTTAATTCTAGGGCTTATAAAATTGCATTGATTTCTAAAGTGGTCTATTGGTTTATATCATTATATTTTTTATATTTTAGAAAACTATGTTTGATGAAAAAACATTTCATGCATTTTATGGTAACGGATATTTCTGGTCCATTTCAGTCACAGAGTAATGCCATATTGTTATTCTAAAAGATTATCTTTGAATAAAAAATTCCCTCATAGTAAGCTATATCTTCAAAATCCAACTCCATATGCCCATGAAATCAGCATTTGTAAAGTTCAGAAGTAGCATTTTGATGTATTTTTGATTTATCGGAAAGCGAGTTTTCAGAATTTTTCAAATAAAAGTTTTGATATATTAAAATAGGTAAATATTTTTCGATACATAACCCAATGGTAAGACTAGTTTTTCCTAAAATAAAACCTCATACAAATTCAGTTTCGATTGATCTTTACTTGTGAACTGTAGGCTCTGTAGCAGATCAGCGTTCGATGCATTCTATTTTATGAGGATCGAACAAAATTCGCGAACTGAACACAGAACCAAGGGAATAATGGACGAAATACTGTATGGTAGGACTTCATCGGGAATTTTCTAATTTCTTACATCAAATATTCCACTTTGGAATCTAATGAGATCTGCTATCGTGTATAATTACAAGATTCAGCTGAAAAAAGTTAACATAGCATGCTAAAATAAGCTTCAACTTTGTAGCCATATACGTGTGTTGGACGACCTTTTGTGGACTTTGTTTTTTTTATAACAAAAAAATACATTAGAAAACGTCAGAAAAAAAAACGATAGGAAGACGTCTATCATTTTGGAAAAAAATGGCTATTTGTTGTAAAATGATGCTGAAATTTTATGTTTATGATGGGGTATTCGCATATACATTGTTTCAGAACGTCACCTTTCTGCGAGCTCATCTTACGGGACATCTTCAAATATTTTCATGCAATTTTTTAACTTTATTTTATTTTTTTCTTTTTAATATTCAGAATTTATTGGTTTGAACATAAAAATTCCAAAAATAGTGGTTATGGAAATACAATTCAAGTAAAATAAATTTTTTAAACTAAACAAGCTGTAAATGCTGCCACATTCACTTGTCAAAAATTTCAAAGATATATTTCTTGAAAATGTGTAATTACAAAAGTAAAGAGCTTTTCTTGGGTAAAGCAATTTATTATGTGCTTATAATTAGTTTCTGATTTAGTTTGCTTTCCTTTATACTAATTTGCATATCGCATATAAATATTTGAAACCGGCTTTTATGGCTTCAACTCAGAGATGTTTATTTATCAGTAAAAGCAAAACATTTTCTTGGTATTCCAACATTCTTTTCATGGCGCTAACAAACATCTATGGCCGTGGAAGAAAATTTACCACCCACTTTTCGCACACACACACACAAATATTGGGGCTTATTTAAAAATTCATTTTCCAAAGAAAAAATCCCATTTGAAAACACGTATGTGGCGTATACTTGATACGCGGCTGTCAATTGAAAGAACAAATCAATCATACGCTCCCATGGCATGGGGTTTTTATACCCTACACCACATAGTGGTAAGGGTATTATGTCTTTGTGCATTTGTTTGTAACATGGAGAAGGAAACGAGATAGACCCATAGTTACTTTTGAGAACCTTCATAGAATCACTTTCTGAGTCGATTTATGCATGTCAGTCCGTCTGTCCGTCCGTCCGTCCGTCCGTCCGTCTGTCCATGTATTCTTGTGAACAAAATGCAGGTCGCATTTATTATCCGATTGAGATGAAATTTTCTAAACAATATTTTTTTGGCCCAGGGACGAACCCTATTGAAATTGGTGAGAATCGGATCAAATTTAGATATAGCTCCCATATATATCTTCATCCGATTTCGGGTTAAATGTGCACCAAATATCCAAATTACCTGAATTTTGGCACACCCAACCGAGTTCGGCCTAGAAGCAAGTATATCAAATTTGGAGAAAATCGGTTCAGATATAGCTATAGCTCCTATATATATCTTTCATCCGATTTGATCTTTAAGTCCCTCACATTCCTACTATGCACTTCACAACCGTGATATTTGGTACCAGGTATTAGATGGAGCACAGAAATAGCTGTTTTAAATTTTATCGAAATCGGTTCAGATTTGGATATAGCTCCCATATATATCTTCATCCGATTTCGGGTTAATTGACCACCAAATGGCCAATATCAGCCCAAATGGCCCGAATTTTGGCACATGTGACCGAGATTAGCCTTAAAGCAAATACAACAAATTTGGAGAAAATCGGTTCAGAAACAGCTATAGCTCCCATATATATATTCATCCGATTTCGGGTTAAATGTGCACCAAATGTCCACTATCAGTCCAAATTACCTGAATTTTGGCACACCCAACCGAGTTCGGCCTAGATGCAAGTATATCAAATTTGGAGAAAATCGGTTCAGATATAGCTATAGCTCCCATATATATCTTTCATTCGATTTGGTGTTTAAGCCTCTCACATTCGTAATATGCACTCCACAAGAATGATATTTGGTACCAGATATAAGATACAGCCCAGAAATAGCTGTTTGTAATTTTATCGAAATCGGTTCAGAATTGGATATAGCTCCCATATATATATTTTTCTGATTTCGGGTTAATTGTGCACCAAATGGCCGATATAAGTCCAAATGGACTGAATTTTAGTACATCGGACCAAATTCAGCCTAGAAGCAAGTATATCAAATTTAGTGAAAATCGGTTCAGATATAGATATAGCAACCATATACATGTTTCATCCGATTTAGAGTTTTAGTCCCACACATTCGTAATATTCACTCCACAACCGTGATATTTGGTACCAGGTATTAGATGGAGCACAGGAATAGCTGTTTTAAATTTTATCGAAATCGGTTCAGATTTGGATATAGCTCTCATATATATCTTCATCCGATTTCAGGTTAAATGTGCACTAAATGGTCAATATCAGCCCAAATCACCAGTCTAGAAGCTAATACGTAAAATTTGGAGAAACCCGGTTCAGAGATAGCTATAGTTCGTAAAATGCACGATAGAATTAGATAGATTTTGATTTTGTACCAAATATCTCATAGAGCTCTGAAATGCCCTGTATAAACCTTTTTATGAGAGCTCTACTAAATATGCATAGTGGTGTAGGGTATCATATAGTCGGCCCCGCCCGACTTTTAAGCTTTCCTTACTGGTTTATTTTTATGTGTTTAGTCGGGGGGGCTTTACCTTGATGTGTATGTGTGTGTGATTGTGATGTGCCTTGTGAATATTTTTGATGGATCACTTGGGTATTGATTTATGACATATTTTGATATATGTATGGCTGTCTGTGTGTGTGAAATGTTAAATTCGAAGCTTATTTATAATTGTTTTTCTTTTTCATTTTCATATCTTTTACAGTTTGCGTATCTAAACAAAAGACATTGAAAACAAAGTTAAGAAACAAAACACCAATAAAATCAAATAAAACTCAAAATTTATGAGGTGAAAATAAAAAAGAACAACATCATCAACAACAACATTAAAGTTTATTTTTTGTTCTTCCATTTTTGTTTTTGTGTTGGTTATTGGTTTGCCAACCATCAGTAAATCTTAATTTTCCGGTTATTTGATTTGTTTCAGTTCGAAAAATTGTTACGCTCAAAATGTGTATTTGTATGTTGGCATTAATATTTGTAACAATGACTTATGGCGTGGTGCAGTGTTTACGTCATTGCCGTAAATCCAAAGAAAAGAAAAATAAACAAGAATAAAATGAAAAAACAAAATGGGCAAGGATGGTGTTTAGAGTGGCAGACAAGGCAAATGATCAGATAGGACCTCGAGTAAAAAGTGTAGAAAATAATAATTTATCTTAATCTTTAAAGGGAAAGAAAAAAACGGCTGACTGACTGGCTGCTTGATTTTAAGCCAAATAAAAAATGGAAAAGAGAAATGAAAAAATTCTAGTTAAAAATAAATAAAAAAATATCCAAGAGCAAAAAAAAAATAAAAATATGAAAACTGCCAAGCAACCGTGAACAAAATGTCAAACTGAATAACAACAAGCTCTACGAGGTCATCAACATAAATTACAACGAACCTGACCACCAACTCTGAGCAAAAAGTCAAAGCATTAAACAAATGTCATGATTTTCTTATCTATTTTCAACTTAATTTTTTTATATCTCCACAAAACAGATATCCAGGGAAGGAGATTAATGAAATGTTCTCAGAATGCAGCAGAAATGTGAAAAAAATAAATAAAGAATATGGAAAAGTTTAAAATTACATAAATTAAGTATGCCATAGATATAACTTATTAAAAATCAGTATTGGCAAAAGGAGTGCTCAAATTCTTACAGGATCTCATAAAATAATAAAATTAAAGAAAATAAGCCCAAATATATAATAAACTAAACTAAAAAAATATATAGTCAAATTGAATCAAAGAGGTTTATGGCAAAATAATCCTCCTGACAAATGACCGGAATTTAATTGAGGCAAATCTTTAAATTATTTCCTAAAAGAAATATAATATTTAAACAAAATTGATATTTGTGGTAACGCGCGGGAAAAAGGCCACAACCGGTGAATAATCGTAAACAAGTAAATTAAAAAAAAAATAACTCAAAAAATTATTTTTTATAAAGTGCGCCAAAAATAAAAGCAGTGCCAACTTTACATAAAAATCAAAGTCGAATGTCTCATTAAAACAAATAATAAAAAAGGATATACATTTTATTAACGACACTCCCTGCTAAAGATAAAATAATTTAAGAGGAACGATACAGAATTATCAACGATAAGATATTAATTATAAATTAATTTAAACACATGTAGAAAGATTTTGAAATCACGTACTTAAATCTGTGTGTGGAAGGAAATAAATAATTAAAGAAAATACATACAACATAATATTAAATTAAATCTGAAATAATATCTTACAATGTAATGACGTGATATTGAAGCTCAAATTCATAAACAAGTGTAGAATATTGAAAATAGTAGTTAAAAATAATAAAAGCAAATAATCGAATGACAAAAATGAATTTAACCTGAATAAACCAAGGAATGCAGAGCAATTAGTAAAACATTCGATCAAGAGGACCGACGATTTTGAATTTATTAGCAACTATAAAACCGAAGGATATTGGATTTTAAGGCAGTGTGGAAATAAGGTCATCAGAAAGGTAAGCTACGATTTGCTTCTATAAATTTGGTATATATTTTTATATATTTAAACTTTTTTAAAATAAAACCAGTAAGGAAAGCTCAAAAGTCGGGCGGGGCCGACTATATGATACCCTACACCACTATGCATATTTAGTAGAGCTCTCGTAAAAAGGTTTATACAGGGCATTTCAGAGCTCTATGAGATATTTGGTACAAAATCAAAATCTATCTAATTCTATTGTGCATTTTACGAACTATAGCTATCTCTGAACCGGGTTTCTCCAAATTTTACGTATTAGCTTCTAGACTGGTGATTTGGGCTGATATTGACCATTTAGTGCACATTTAACCCGAAATTGGATGAAGATATATATGGGAGCTATATCCAAATCTGAACCGATTTCGATAAAATTTAAAACAGCTATTCCCGTGCTCCATCTAATACCTGGTACCAAATATCACGGTTGTGGAGTGAATATTACGAATGTATGGGACTAAAACACTAAATCGGATGGAACATATATATGGTTGCTATATCTATATCTGAACCGATTTTCACTAAATTTGATATACTTGCTTCTAGGCTGAATTTGGTCCGATGTACTAAAATTCAGTCCATTTGGACTTATATCGGCCATTTGGTGCGCAATTAACCCGAAATCGGATGAAGATATATATGGGAGCTATATCCAAATCTGAACCGATTTCGATAAAATTACAAACAGCTATTTCTGGGCTGTATCTTATATCTGGTACCAAATATCATTCTTGTGGAGTCCAAATTTGTTGTATTTGCTTTAAGGATAATTTCGGTCACATGTGCCAAAATTCGGGCCATTTGGGCTGATATTGGCCATTTGGTGGTCAATTAACCCGAAATCGGATGAAGATATATATGGGAGCTATATCCAAATCTGAACCGATTTCGATAAAATTTAAAACAGCTATTTCTTTGCTCCATCTAATACCTGGTACCAAATATCACGGTTGGGGAGTGCATAGTAGGAATGAGAGGGACTTAAAGATCAAATCGGATGAAAGATATATATGGGAGCTATAGCTATATCTGAACCGATTTTCTCCAAATTTGATATACTCGCTTCTTGGGTGTGCCAAAATTCAGGTAATTTGGACTGATAGTGAACATTTGGTGCACATTTAACCCGAAATCGGATGAAGATATATATGGGAGCTATATCTAAATTTGATCCGATTCTCACCAATTTCAATAGGGTTCGTCCTTGGGCCAAAAAAAATATTGTTTGGAAAATTTCATCTCAATCGGATAATAAATGCGACCTGCATTTTGTTCACAAGAATACATGGACAGACGGACGGACGGACAGACGGACTGACATGCATAAACCGACTCAGAAAGTGATTCTATGGAGGTTCTCAAAAGTAACTATGGGTCTATCTCGTTTCCTTCTCCATGTTACAAACAAATGCACAAAGGTATAATACCCTTACCACTATGTGGTGTAGGGTATAAAAACAGTAAAGACAAACTTAAAGTCGGGCGGGCTGTCTTTATGATACCCTACACCACTTTGCTAATTTAGTTGAGCTCCACATAATAATTAAAAGTTTTTATGGGAGAATTCAATCATACGCCCTATGATTATAATTATAATTTAAAATTCAAAGGACTAACTATGCCGAAGCATTTGTATCTTCTAAATTCGGACTTGTATTGCCCATTTGGTGTAAAATTAATTTGAAATCAGATAAGGATATATATGGGAGCTATATCCAAATCTGAACCGATCTAGATAAAATTTAGCAAAGATATTTCTGAGCTGTATTTGATATATTTCCCTGAATATCGTTGTTACGGAGTGCATATCACGGTTGTTGGTAACAAATACAACGAATCGGATGAACAATATATATGGGAGCTATAGCTATATCTGAACCGATGTTCACCAAATTTGGCTTACTACCTTTTAGACTAAATTCGGCCGTATGTGCCAAATTCCATCTCATTTGGGCAAATATTAGACGTTCGGTGCACAATAAAAGGTAAATCGGACGAAGTTATATATGGGAGCTATATCCAAATCTGAACCGATCTCGATAAAATTTAGCAGAGATATTGCTGAGCTGCATTTGATATATTTCCCCAAATATTGTATATTGCGAGCTATAGCTCACATATATTATGTTTTATCCGATTTGGATTCCGCACATTCATAATATGCACTCCACAAGAATGATATTGTACCAGATATTAGATACAGCCCAGAAATGCCAAATTGTATTGAAAGCTCCCGTATATCTTCAAACGTATATCTTCAAGTAGTTGTGCACCAAATTTCCAATATGAGCCCAAATGACCTGAATTTCTGCACATGCAACCGAATTAAATCTAGCAAGTACATACAATTTGTTGAAAATCGGTTCCCACATACTTAGGCTGCAGTCTACAAAAAATTATATTTGGTATCGGAAGTTAGATACAGCCCAGAAATACCTCTGCTAAATTGTATCAGGATCAATTCAAATTTTGATATAGCTCCTATATATCTTCAACCGATTCCGGGTTAATTGTGCTCAAAATTGCCAGTATAAGTCCAAATGACCTGAATTTTGGCAAATCCAACCGAATTTCGTCTAGAAGAAAGTATATCAAATTTGATAAAAATCGATTCAGATATAGCTATAGCTCCCATATACTTAGACTGTTTCATCCAATTTGATGTTTAAATCGCTCACTTTCGTAACATGCAAATTTTATCAAGATAGGTTCATATTTGGATAAAGCGGCCATATATACCTTGATCCGATTTCAGGTTACTGTGCACCAAATAGCTAATATTAGTCCAAATAGAGTGAGTTGTGGCATATTCGAACGAGTTCAGTCTAGAAAAAAGTACACCAAACAGTCGTACAAAATCGGTTCAGATATAGCCATAGCTCCCATATATATATATATATTTCATCTGATTTGGGGTTTAAAGTCCCTCACACAGGTAATATGCAGATTTGGATATAGCTTCCATATACATCTTCAACCGATTTCGGGTTAATTGTACACCAAATGACCAATATTAGCCCAAATGGACTGAATTTTGGCAATTCCGTCTCAATTCATCCTAGAAACAGGTACTTCAAATTTGGTGAAAATCGGATCATCACTTGCAGTCCGAAAAAACCTCTGCCAAATTTAATGGAGATCGGTTGAGATTTTTATAAACCTCCGGTATACCGAACTTTATCATTAGGTGGAACTCCGTCCGGTATATCTATTTATCCAATAAATATTTTTCAATATAATTCTTATCGAAGTCATAACATGCTCTATACAACAATTTTATTTGGAAAAAAAAGGTAAAAAGAACTTCGTCAAATTTGTTGTCGATACAGAGTTGAATACGAAGTTCCACCTCCCAAATTATGAATATTCTAAAGCCATGATACGCATTCAAATAAGGTTCATAGCTGTTATGACCTACTTACCTCCCTACTTCTGTCTGTCTGTCTGTTGAAATCAAATGCAGCCCATATTATTTGACGTAGAGCTTTTAAATTTGTCATCGTTGTCTGCATTGTGTTTAGGATGGTTGGTATTATGTTATTTTAATGGTTTTATCCTCATTTTTTCAGCAATTTGTCTAAAAATTGGTACTTGTAGTTCGTTATGGGTTCTAGCTCCAGTGGCGGAACATTGCATATATAGGTCCTGGTTTTCGTAAAGCCCCATATAAGGGTACCCCTTGATATGCGATATGTTGATGATTTTACACCATATTTTTCCAGGGATTTGTCTAAAAATTGGTATTTGCAGTTCGTAATGGGTTCCAGCTTCGGTGACAAAATATAGCCTCCACGGTTTTTCCCGATATTTGGTATTTTTAAGGTTTTACCAACATTTTCACACGTTTTTATACCCTACACCACATAGTGGTAAGGGTATTATGTCTTTGTGCATTTGTTTGTAACATGGAGAAGGAAACGAGATAGACCCATAGTTACTTTTGAGAACCTTCATAGAATCACTTTCTGAGTCGATTTATGCATGTCAGTCCGTCTGTCCGTCCGTCCGTCCGTCCGTCTGTCCATGTATTCTTGTGAACAAAATGCAGGTCGCATTTATTATCCGATTGAGATGAAATTTTCTAAACAATATTTTTTTGGCCCAGGGACGAACCCTATTGAAATTGGTGAGAATCGGATCAAATTTAGATATAGCTCCCATATATATCTTCATCCGATTTCGGGTTAAATGTGCACCAAATATCCAAATTACCTGAATTTTGGCACACCCAACCGAGTTCGGCCTAGAAGCAAGTATATCAAATTTGGAGAAAATCGGTTCAGATATAGCTATAGCTCCTATATATATCTTTCATCCGATTTGATCTTTAAGTCCCTCACATTCCTACTATGCACTTCACAACCGTGATATTTGGTACCAGGTATTAGATGGAGCACAGAAATAGCTGTTTTAAATTTTATCGAAATCGGTTCAGATTTGGATATAGCTCCCATATATATCTTCATCCGATTTCGGGTTAATTGACCACCAAATGGCCAATATCAGCCCAAATGGCCCGAATTTTGGCACATGTGACCGAGATTAGCCTTAAAGCAAATACAACAAATTTGGAGAAAATCGGTTCAGAAACAGCTATAGCTCCCATATATATATTCATCCGATTTCGGGTTAAATGTGCACCAAATGTCCACTATCAGTCCAAATTACCTGAATTTTGGCACACCCAACCGAGTTCGGCCTAGATGCAAGTATGTCAAATTTGGAGAAAATCGGTTCAGATATAGCTATAGCTCCCATATATATCTTTCATTCGATTTGGTGTTTAAGCCTCTCACATTCGTAATATGCACTCCACAAGAATGATATTTGGTACCAGATATAAGATACAGCCCAGAAATAGCTGTTTGTAATTTTATCGAAATCGGTTCAGAATTGGATATAGCTCCCATATATATATTTTTCTGATTTCGGGTTAATTGTGCACCAAATGGCCGATATAAGTCCAAATGGACTGAATTT